ATTGGATTTGATTGGTTAATTTATGTAACCCTATAAGTTAACTTAATTAATAAATTTTTATACCTAATCTTTAAAAAATCATATCTTCCTGAGTTTTTATTCAATATTAATGATTTTACTATCATTAAAATTAGAAAAACCTACTCTACAAACTTTTCATATAAATTAAAATTAGTTTACTTAATATAATGTTTTATAAAATTAAATATAAAAAAAAATTACCATTAGGTTTATATATAATTTTAAACTACTATCCTCTACCCTTAATAGAAATAACTTATCTTTATTATAATAATTTATATATATAAAATATCTATAAAAATATTGCTTTCTAACTTTTTAAAATGTTGTGTTTTCATATATTTCAATAATTAATAAACTGAATACAATATTTAGTATCTTCATATAATTATCTATTGTTATTTTTGTCTTAATTACCTAAATCATATTTGTTAAATCTTGTTATAAACTTTGTATTGAATTTATCAAGTTTAGTCTTCATACTATAGTTGAACAACTTTTGTTATTGTTATTAAAATAGAAAATCTTTAGATTAACACTATTTTAAACTATTTGCCTGTTATTGTGTAGTAAAGTAAACTACTATACCTTTACTTTATATATAGGGGTAAGTCAGTAGAAAAGGGACAAATCATTTTTAGTAAAATTTTTTTAATTTTTAAATTTAAATAACTCAACAACTATTTAATCAAATTTGCTAAAAATTTTTTTATTTTAATTTTGAAATTATATAGAATTAAAATAAAAAAAAAATTTATCAAATTTAATAAAATAGATTTAAGATATTTAAGCTTAAAGTCAAAAAAACTTTTACTTAGAAAAAATTTGTTCCTTTTCTACTGACTCATCTCCATATATTTGTAATAATTAATTATTATACTGAATAAACTTGTTATTTAATTGTATTGTATTAAGAAGACTACAATCTTGTAAAAATATTTATACAATTTTTGATTTTTTTTTTTAAGTTATATACTTTTAAAATTTCTTGTACAATAATTATATTTTGATTTAACAAACATAAAGTTTAATTTTTTAATTAGTAATAAAAATGCCAAATAATTTAAATTAATGACATTAGAATTTCAAATTCAAATTTTAGTAGCAATATAAGTATTTTTAATTAAAAAATATAATTATAAAAAATTTTATTAAAAACTTGTACAAAAAAATACTTTGTAACTTGTTTTTAATTATTAATAAATCTATAATTTTCTAAAGTTTTATTAAATTCAACCTTAAGTTTTTAAAAAGTAATTCAGAAGGTTGAATAAGATAATTTGTGTTTAATAGTAAAACATATAATAAAATATTATTATTACAAAATTTAATTTATTCTAACTTTAATTTACAATTAGATTAGAAAAAATTATTTACTTCTAAGTTTAATGTTTTGTATATTTTTTGAAATCTTATTTTGTTAACTATTTTAACAACAAGTTTTGTTTCTGTATCTTCTATTTTTAATTAAATCTTCTATTTAAGTTTATCTCTAATATACTATTAAAATCTTTATAATTGTTCAAATTTCTTTGTAACTATTTAATATATCTATTTATTACTGTCTTTTAGATTTTTTTTTTTTAATTTTGTTGTTTGATAGTAAATAAAACATTATTGATTGTAACTAAGTTAGCTATTAACATATGGGCTAGATACTAAAAAAAGAACCCAAATTTACAATTTTTTTAAACTTAATTAATTTAAAATTAACTCAAAAACATGTTTTACTTAAGAAAGAAATACTATTGCATTAATAAAATTTTACAGTATAATCTTTTGAAATCTGTATTTTTTTGAGTTAATATAGATTTTATAACATAAAATTAATTTTTCTCTAATTTTATTTTTTCTCAATTTGGTCTCTTTTTTTACATATATTTGTTTACTCTCTATTTTTTCTAGATGTTTTTTTTACTGCTTACTAAAGAATAAACTTACTTATGAACCTTTTTTTTTGTTAAGGTTTGCACTTGTCTAGAAACTTTTATAGTTATTTAAATCTTTCATGATAATAAATCCCTCTTTTCTTGAAATGTTCATGTCTGCTATGCCTATTCCACTAGTACATATTATAATTATAATCCAACACCTGTTTTATTATAATAAAATAAAATGTACTGGCGGAATGGTAAATAATTATTTTAAGTTTTGCACGCAAGGTGTCGGATTAGTTGTATAACATTAATGGTCTTCGCTGTTGAATAAATTCCAACATAATTTACCAATCGTAAAACATCGAGCTTTTCACACTTTCTTGCCATTAATACAAATGTTATTATCGAAGATAAATGAAGTGTGCATACACAAAAACCAATTTTCGGTTTAAAATGTAAATGTTACCAGTAGTGATTTCCAATTTCAAATTGCAATCATGAAATAGATTCGCTACATGGGTTTGAACGAAGCTTCTATCCTTCATACGATCTTTAAATAATAAACACCACCTTTTTTGAAGAAAAAATTCACGGCTTAGTCAGCAGCGAATATTATACGCAACTCACCAAACTCAATTTTTATATGTAAAATTTCGGATAATATAAATTCAATGTTAAGTGTTTGACATTACGGCAAATTAGAGCCTTTTTGCGAAACCTAGTAACACTATTTTGGATTCTACCTAATTTCAAACTACGTACGTAATAAATTGGATCGCAACTCTATTTATAACCACTATTACCATTAATGTACGAAAATTCCTTAACTAATTTTCTTTTAGTTGTTTGTCATCGAGAATTAATAATTTTTTGTTGGTGGCGTCATCCCAAATATAAGTTTTAAATATCGTTGACTATGAATAATCAATTTTACCTTTTTTTTGTCGAGTTTGGTTAATAAATACGGTATTATTTATTTATAACACTAATAAATAAAAAAAATTTCTACTCTAAACCAAGCTCGCATAGCTCAGTTGGTTAGAGCGTGGTGCTAATATTGATTATTGGAACGCCAAGGTCGTGAGTTCGACCCTCACTGTGAGCATTTAATTTTTATTTTGCATTTTATAACTTCATATCGATATTTGCTAACAATTCATTATGCATACAATTATACATATTTAGTTATTACGGGGGATTTTCTTTCACAAGTTTGTGGAAAAAAAAAAAACTAGTGAAGCATTCAAAGCTATGTTATTGGAATAACGAAGATAATCTTAGAAAATTCTCTTATCGTTGTCCTTTACATAGACTTGCAGGAAAATTCGCCTACAAATTGTCATGAGTAAAGACGCTAGTGAAATTATTGGTGAAATTGGCACCTGTCTCTAGTCGCGAGTTGATCTATGATCAAGCCTATTGAACTATTGGAGCTTACCATATTTCGCTATATAAACCACTCGGAGTTTGTTACACCTCTCCCAAGTATTTAATTAGTAAAAAAGAAATTTATATGACAAGGTGAAACCAGTGATCTAAATAATATTAAATATAGATCTATTGATAATAAAAATCAGCTCAGGTTTCATTCTACCTAGGGTTATTAACAGAATGGCATACTCTGGTGACATTTTAAGTTGAACTCTTCCCACATTGTAATAAAAATGTTTATTAATTTAGGGCTATGTGAAGCAATCTGTAGCAAATTTAGAGCAGCCCGGAGTAGAATCTGAAGCAAGGTTTAATTTAATGGAGTGGGATCGATTCAACCCATTATTAAAAAAATCACATGGGTCTACTATCATGGGAGTGGCTTATATGGTAACATACTCACCGCAATGCCCTAATTCCTTATAATTAAATAAATGTGTCCTAAGAACTAGCGATGCCAAATATAACTCTGATTGATGTATAATAAATTATTACGTAGCTATAATGCTTAGCTTCGTCAATCTACATGCATACGAATAGAAAATTACTAGGTCACATGATCTGTTCTACCAATCGTTTTTATGCGGTTTTTGTTTTGCCTTCGTCGAGACAACAAATCATTCATAATAGTTAGATATTGCGAACAGGGTTTTTAGAGCCTGGCTATCTCTACGAATGTAGAACGATCAGGAACACGGAAATTAAGCGTTTTCTTTTTTACTGCAATTTTGACAAATATCAAAATTGCTGAATTACTAATGCTACACTCTAATAGGTATGAATTTTAAAACTAAATACGCTATCAACGGAGACATCCGACACAAATAACAATTCACAACTTTATAATCTTAAACAAATAAATCAAGTATATAAATTAATAGTTTATATCACATAATAAATTTGATAAATTTCAGATTGTTCGAAATACAAAGTTTTTATTAGTACTGTAGTTTTGGCACTACTTTCAAGAATTATCTTCAATCAGAAATTCATTTTTCATTTTATATAAAAAATCTTTCATTCTATTAATAAAATAACTTACCTATGTTTTTTAATATAAAAAAAGTTAATGTCACAAAATCACTTATTCCAAAAACTAATTGGATGCTAATGTTTTCTATTTTTTTACTATTACACGACAATAATAAAAAGTAGTTCAAATTTCATAAATATGTATAAGGTTGATTGTTCTATTTCTTCAGGTCATCAGCTATAATATTATCGGTAGCAGCCTGTTGCATTAAAGTTTCAAGAGATTTTTGAAGTACATCTATTCGTGAATCCATGTCTTCCACTTGAGATATAATAGAAGGTCAGTATGTATTAAAGCTAGCATTAATAATAACATGTAATAAATTAGACTTCATACTTTTATTGACCAATTGCGTGGACAAATCATCAAATTTTGTTTGCTTAATTAATGCCCCAATAATGTTACATATTAGTAATTCAATCAAAAAGAATATATACCCGTTCTCTTTATAAATACCAGTTGTCGTAGCATGGTCTCAACCTATTGTTAACAGAAATAATATACAGTAACTAGTTAAAAATAAGCTTGTTATAAATTGTTCAAGAGAGAGTGAAAAAAAAAACACACAAATGCAGTCAATTCTTGAGGTGTTTGTATGTCGGAAAAAACAGCATTAGGTTGGTCATTGGTGTTATTTGGTTTTGTTGATTCCTGATAAGGTTGAGTTGAAGTGGGTTCTTTGATTAGAGGAGGAGGAGGAGGAGGCGGCGGCGGTGGTGGTATTGAACCAGACATATTACTTTATAGACCAACAATTATCGCTAATTACTACAAGTCAGTCGTTGTAAAAGCTCCCAATATAGATCATTCAGGCTACAATTCTTTTTATTAATAAATTGGGTTTATTGGTCAACATGTATGATCTACATGTAAGTTAACCAATATTGTCCTGCATACCCGAACCGACTCGTTCTGGTCGAGTTCGGTTTCATGATTTTAGAACAACGGTTTCGAGTTTAGATCCTTGATACCTTAGCTTTTTAACCTATTATAAATCCGTTATAATGAAATATCTGCCATAACATTATGTATAATAATAATAATGCTAAAAAATTTTAGAAATTTGTATTTCGTTATAAAACATCGAAATCGACAGGGCACAGGATCATTTTCCATTCACCGAGGTCAATAGTCTTCGAATAAAAAAGCTCATTGATGTTAGGGTTCGTGTGTATTTTAGGGTTATAAAGAACTACCTAACAGTAAAATTGCACGAAGAATTTTTTTTATTAGGACTCAAAGACGGTTACTAATAAAAGTTTTTTAAAGCGACCAAATTTCCGAAATCACGTGACCTGAAAATCGATCTATGCTTTGGTGCTGTTATAAAAGAATCCACCAGGGCGACCCTCATAGGGCGACATTCTTCTGATTGGCTGATGTAAATCAATTGCCCGGGTAACTTATTTATACACTTTAAAGTACTTTTTGAGAACGTAACGTTTCACTAACAAAAAAAACCTCCGTAAAAGCAAATTCTAGTTCTTAACGAACGTTATTATTCATTGTTAAAATTAATCCAAAATAATCCAAAATTTGAAAGACTTCGCTTATAAGACAAAATGCCTATTACTGGACCTTGTGCAATCGTTACATGCCTAAGAGATTCGTCAACTTGTTGGAAAAAAGTAACTGAACATGTTATTACTAAAGGACGAGCTAACAATACTTTACCTTCTTATCTTCAAATAGGTGATCCGATTTGCTTAACTTGTTACAACAAAATCGTAGTGAATAGATCGATTCCATCTCAGCATGCTCCAACTGATTTACAGGATCAAGTCATTATAGATCTAACTGAAAGTGTTGAGACTAACGAAGATCAGAGCACTACTAATCTCTCTTTTTCTGAAGTAATAAAAATATTAACAGATCTTTTGTATAATCATGAAAATAATGAGGAAAGACAATCCATATACTCTTTTGATGAATTTCAAATGACTATGGAAAAGAAAGATGTGTGATTAAAGAGTTTTTTTACTGAATTGTATTTGTCATCTAACCCATCATTAAAAAATCAAAATTCAAAGGCATGGTCTAAAAAGTAGCTTTTTTTTGTTTGCTATTTTCTTTGTGAAGTCTGTAACAAGTTTGTGAATGATGTGAAAAAAGATATTGCAATGTTTATAGATTCTTCTGGTACTTCTAACACTTGTATATATACTTTTGCTGATTTAGGTATTACCACAACATCCTATATGATCTAGTGACTTAAATCAACTATATCTGAAGAACATGAAGAAGCTGTTGATTCTGTATTTGCTAAATGTGCAGAGAATGTTATAATATTAAATATTAATGATTATCATAATATTTATATAAAGTGAGTATCAGATATTACTACTACATTGATTGTTGCACATCTAGTAATAATTTTGGTGAATCCTATTATGACTTAACATGCGATTCTGAAGTTGAATATCTATAACCTTCTGCTAGTTGATGTTGAATTAATTAAAACAAATATCAAAAGCAGATTTATAAGGTCTTATAGTCTTTCATATAATCAAAGCTAGAAATTTCATATAGTTAATAACAATACAAGATTAGAAGAATTGATTGTATACAGTTATGATGTTAGGCTAAAAGAAAAATGAAATTCTTATTCAATAAAAGATATCATTCTTATTGACTTGCAAAAGAATGATCTTCATACTATAGATGCATATATCAAAGCTATTAATGTGATTGTAAATGTTTTATTGATGATGCAATATATTTAGAAGAGACATATAATTCTTGTTGTTACAAATTGGCCTGAACAGATTCATCTTCAAACAACAATTTTATATTTTATATGTTATCAAAATTTATCAAATATTAATGATCAAATATTATCTTTTTTTCCCATCATAAGTCCTCTTTATATTTTACTAAATAGCCAAGAATTGGTGTTTCTTCAATATCAGTTATTTTTTTCAACTATATACTGATATGCTATTGGTAAACAAAAACTATTTGCACAAATGCCTAAGCCATGGCATATAAATTTACTTTTGGAAATATCTTGCAGTGCTTGGCAGACAATTGCAGCAAATGTTGAAGCCAAATTTGGTCCTTTGTGTAAAAATGCTAAGTATTTTGCATTTAAAGATCTACTTGATAATATGATTCCTTTAGTTCTTGATATATATGCTGTATTTTTCCAATCTGGTAATTTTAATACTTATTTAGAATGTTGTTTTTATGCTTGAATAATTTTTTTAAAATTTAGTCATAAGAATTATACAAAAGCATTGTTAATGTTTCTTTCAGATATCTTTTACTGGAAGTTGAATAATCACTCAATTTTGGATATTATTAAAGCAGAACTTCCAAAATTTTCAAATTTAACTGTAGAGATATTTCACAGTTTCTTATACAAAAGCATGCAAAAGCATACAAAAAACAAAAAATAATTAAATACAGATACTGCATTAATTATTTATATCTAGAAGATAATGGATTTAGAGAAAACTTTACACACACATCAACATAGATGGCTTATAAGTATTCTGCACGAGATATTTCAGCATTAACAAACAATTGTGCTTGTTTTTTTTTATAGTATTTTTTAAAATTTTACATTCATTTATTTCATAATAAATTACCATTAATATTTCTATTACAAGCTATAGTAAATTTGTCTTCAATCAAAAAACAGAAAGTTAACAATATTACTGTTCTGTTACCTATTATGCATATGCTAGAAGTGCAGCTTTGTCATCTTCCTTTGGGTTTTAGCACTTTACATATACCCAATTCATTTCATTATTGTAATGCATCTAATTGTTTTATTTCTCTATTTATTAACACAGATTCAGTTGTTCTATCATGCAATCATGATTATCATAAGTCTTGCTATACTAACAATAGATTTATATATGTATATTGTTTTTCATTTTTGAAAAATGGCATTGATAGACATGTTCAATCCCTATTGAAAAGCTTGCAATCCATTGAAGGAAAAAAAAAAAAAAAAGAAGATATGAGTTGAAGGAATTTCTTGTGATGATGATAATGAATTTGAGAAAATAAAATATAAAATATTTAAATTGAAAAAAATATTGTAAAAATTTCAACAGATATAATTGTAGTTTTATAATTTTTAATTTATTGTAATTTTAATTTTATTTTATCTAATAAAATACATTTAATTTAAATACAATTTAAAATTATTACATCATATTTGTTCTTATTACATATTGAATTTTTTTATATTATTTTTATAACAGCAGAAACATCAATATTATATATATATTAAAACTGGTAAGAGATTATATCTAACATAAATAATTTAATTTGTGATTGATCACAGACAAGATGGATTCATTTTGGATCGGATACTGTCTCTGCTATATATTTTTACAATAGCTAAGTGCCTTTCATTTTGCTAACAGTAACCAAGATAAAACACTCCATAAATATGCCCAAACTGGCAGACTTTTGATAATAAAAATGAATGCTATTTGTGCATTCTTTTTGATTCTAATTCTGTTTTTATAGTAATATCCAAGCCTGCTAACTTTTGGTATTAATGTATATCTTACATTCATTCTTTTCAACTTCATTTTTATTTTAATAATGTTTATGGCTGTCTTTCAGATGAGCATAAATATAAATGCCACCTCAGTATTTGCGTGCATAGTTTAAATATATCAGAAAATAAGAAGAACTATTATCAGTTTTACATAGCTCTCAAAATTCACACAATTGCTGGTATGTTTATTAAAAATATATATATATATTATTAATTAAATTAAAATACATGTATTTTAAAAAATTATGTAAGAGGTGTGGCAACCTAGTGAAGTGGTCAGGTTGTCAACCTCCCAAGTGGTAGGTTGGGTGTTCAAATCCCATTGACAGTGAAAATTTG